ACCCACCATATAGCCCTGCCCTGACCTTGCGCCTTCGGATAGAGTTTTCTACATTCGTTTATCTCAGTTGTTTTGGCTGGCTCTCTGCTTCCATTTGAGTTTATTGCTGACTGTGAGTCCGAAAGTATACCGAATTGAGTTTATGCTGACTGTGAGTCCGAAAGTATCACCGCTTGAGTTTATTGCTGACTGTGAGTCCGAAAGTATCACCGCTGGGTTGAATTTCGTATCCAGGCAAGATAATTGGCATAGTGCTATCCTAATAGCCTCTATTTAGCCTTCAAAAGTGGATCTATTGTGTCCCGCTGCCGCGTAGAAAGAGAGGAGTTCAGAATAGACACCTGCACCAACGTTGCTCGATATTCTATGTAAGACCGATCAGTGAAGACTTGGAGCCATTGATCTGCTCCATCAGAGAAGATTTGGAGCCATTTCTCTGCAGGATTGTTGACATTGATTGTCTCAAGGGCCAGTTAGCGCATTTGCTCTGGTGGAGTGTTTGCTTTCCTGAAGAAGTCGAGCAGCTGGGTGCAACATACTACATCAGTGTCTGCTAATGGGTTCATGGGAAGAGAGAGGCTTTTTGGTTTGTCATCGATTTGTAATTCTTTTTTTCAGTTCTATGGCTTTCTGTATTAGACCAGATTGCGTTTTCAGATGTCTTGGTCTATTCCCATAGTTGCTGAAGAATTTGTCCATGGGAATGCGCAGTAGCTTCTCATACAGGATCAAGGCCTTCTCTTCGATAAGGGAGCACATTGTGGTGCTCTCTGTAGCCAGGAGCATTGCATCAATGGGTGTTGATTTTATCCCTCCCGCATGGCATTGCATCAATGGGTGTTGATTTAATCCCTCCAGTAATTAGTCGTAATTCTTGGTAGTGTGCCTTCTCGAGGGGTTTGAGAGTCACCTCTTTGTGGCCGTCTATTCCTCTAGTAATTAGTCGTAATGCTTGGTTGTGTGCCTTCTCGTATTGATATGAGAGTCACCTCTGTGGCTGTAATGAGTGGCTCACAGCAAAAGGCTGAATAAACATCTTGACCATCTGCATAAAGTAAGCACCTGATGCCCGTGACTGTCTGTACCAATTCGGCTATGTCATTGATGAAGACATTGAAAAGAGTGCAGCTTGTGACAGCTCCCTGTGGAAGACCTGTTTGTAAAAGATTGGATTTTGATAGACCATTTCCACATCAGACTTTACACGATCTTTGTCCAATGAATGCTTTTATCCAGTTTAACATGTTATGCTTAATACCAATCTTTGCCAATTTTAGAATTAGTTTCTCTTTCCATACTAAGTCATATGTTGATTTAAAGTCGACGAAAACAGCCGTAAGGGTATTTCATGCATCAAGGGCATATTTGAAATGTTGGGAGAAAGTGGCTACTTGTTGGTTCGTTGATCTTTGCGGCCTATAACCTGCTTGTTCACTCCTAAGANTATTGTTGGTCACAAGGAACCATGTCAGCCTCCTGTTTACCATTCTTTAAATAAGTTTAGCGAGCACGCTTGTGAGGGAGATAGGCCTATATTTGTCAAAGTTGCTAGGGTCTTTGTCCTTTTTTAGTACTGGTATTACTATGGCAACTTTCCATTGGTTAGGTACGAGACTGGTCTCCCAGATTTTGTTGAAAAGCGTCAGCATGGTTGCCTTGGCTTTTGGTCTTATTCTAATTAAAAATTTCGGATGAATACCGTCTTCGCCAGGAGACTTCATGCACTTTAGCTGTTTTATCGCAGCATTAAGTTCGCAAGGATGTTCAGGATTACATTATTTGGTGTTGCTATGTTTTCCTTAATTTCGCCAAACTGAACGTTATTTGGTGTTGCTATGTCTTCCTTAATTTCACCAAACTCCCTTACTTGTAGCTTTGAATCTCTTGAAGATTGCCTGACAAAAGGCCTTTTCTTTTGCTTGTGGGAATAAACCTCGCAAAGCAGTTAGATATTTCGGTGTCGGTGGTAAGCAATTTGCTGTTTAAGCGTATTGGTTCTTTCTTGGGTCTTTCTCTGTTATTTTGGAGGTTTCTCAGAAATTTGAAAGTGCGTTGGCTATCACTTTGATAGTTGATATTTGAGATGAACTTGTCGAAGGAAGTGCGTTTAGCTTGTAAGATGGCTTGCCTTAGGACTGCTGATTGTCGTCTCCAGGCTTTTACGTCCTCCGTTCTTCCAGTCTGATCAGCAGTGTTGCGAAGGTCGTCCCTCTTTCTTTTCAGTTCCTCAAGGTGTTTAGACCAAAATACTCGATAGTGTTTAGTCATGCCACGAGGAATGGTATTCTTTGCACATCTGATCATAATATTTGTGATATCATTGCAAAGTTTGTCTGGATGTTGGTTGAAGTTGAGGGCACTTGTGTGAAGTTCATTCTCTGAAGGGTTTGTGAATCTAGGCCAGTCAGCCTTCTTGAAGTTCCATGATAGCTTAGTTGGCACTTTCCTTGACATGCTTTTGCTGCCGATGGTAATACTAGCAATGACTGGTTTGTGACCAGAACCAGGATCGTCAATTATTTTGCAGCGAGTATGCTCACTGATGTCGCTTGAAGCCAAGAGTAAATCACGAGTTGTTCTGGTTCCATTGTAGTGCAAATATGTAGCCGGTTTCTCATTGTTATATATATAATTTTTTTGAGGGTTGCTGTTTATCATGTCTTCGATTTCCTTTTTAGCTATGTTTGTATCCTTGTAGCCCCATCTGGTGGAATGGGCGTTGAAGTCTCCTAATACTACGGTTTTGTGATCGATGTTCAGAAAGTCAAAGTTTGGACAATTCTGGGGTGGATTATTGACTGCATATACCTTGAAGTGGTTTTGGCATTTCCAAACATTTAATCTGATTATTTCCCATATATCTCGTGTCGGGCCCATACTCTTGTTTAGATCGTAGTGTGAGGTGAGGCCTTCTTTTACTCCACTCAGAATTCCATTTGCAACTTGCCAGTATTTAGGTAGATTGTACAGGGTGTAACCTGGGAATTGGTAGTACTTCAGTTTGTCATCCGAGATGTTTGCTTCCATAATTGTGAAAATGTCTACATCATATGTTTTTAGGATTTTCTGTACTTGGATCTTTTTGTCCTGTAATATGCCTCCAGCACTCCACTGGAGGGTCTGAAGTCGGTGTGATTCGCCCTGACGAGGGCGATTTCTCTTATAGCCTTTTTTCAAGCAAATCATAAATAATAGAAGTCAAATCAAATGCCGAGTGATAGACTTTTTTTCCCAGAAATTCCGCCCCGAGCAAAGTTACCTCGCTGGTTAGAATATTACGAGTGCTTCTGTGCTGACCACCGTGGTCTCACGCGCCGACCTACCCTGTAACTTTGAAATGAACATTTACTTCAAGTTACATCAGGGGTGTGCGATAGACTTACCTCCTGGACAACGTATTTTCATACGGCCAAAAGTCTGTTATTCGGAAGTTGACTTCTGACTTCAAACTACCATGACCCCACTCTTTGTCATATTCCACCACTTCCACAGTACTCACAATGCTTCTTCTCTGCCATTGTGTCTGTCTGTCTGCCTCTTCTACATCTATGGATCACTCTTCCGTTCCCTCTCTCGACATTTTGTGACTTTGCCTGTTTCTCCACTCTGTGAAGTCCGAATTCAACTTAAGGGCCATTGATGACCATCAAAACGCCTGCCATTTCAGATAAATAAACTTCAATTTGTGTTGCGAACACAGTTTTACAATTGGCCATATTTGCAACTAAAATCAATTCACTTCATTTCTCCAATCTCGTGAATGCTGATGCAAAGGAAATCAATTTTGGTTAAATTTGATTCTGGATTATTGTTGAGAGTGTCTTGAAGGATTTTTCTGTCAGCAACCGTTGTAAAATATGTGCCATACCCTTCACTGTCATTTATTTGTTTAAGTTAGACAATATTCTCAAAAAAAAACACCTTCATAGATTGGGAGTATATAACCAACTAACATGCCCACTATGTAACCAACAGTAAGAAATGGAGAAGACCCAGCTGATTCGGTGTCCAGCCCTAAAGACAACGACGGAAAGCCAGAGATACTGGGAAGCAAGAAGACGGCTAATGAACTGCTATAAATGTACCCCCCACCCTTGGGGGAAGCTGAAGTCAAAGTTTAAGGGCTAATGATAAATATAATAAAGTCTTCCACTTGAAAAACAATCTTCTCAAAAATACCATTTATAGAGACTATTCTATTCTGCTAACAAACTTTTGCAAACTTACCTCATATCTCTCAGTGAAATTCGAATTTCGTTATTGACTATCCACAGAGTTTTAACTCAAAATGGAAAGCTATGGTCCAACTACCTTTATTATTGAGACCAATCAATACATTTAAAAGATACTCGATTTTATAATGGCAGATATATGACAAATAAAAAATTACATTTCTGATGAAAGCCCTATGAGGAAAACTCGATGATCTTAAACGCGTAAACCTTCGCCGGGAGCAATCAATGCGGCTGGATCTATTTGAGGACATAAAGAATTGTCGTTTGAGGGTTGACTGTTCACCTCTATTTCTGGGGATGAGTCTTACATAACGCGATGAGAAAGCATGAATATTCATTAAAATGTGCATAGCTTGTGTGCGTTTCTTTAACCAATTGAAATCTTCTTGGCGACTTGTTGGCTTTCCTGCTTCGAAACGATTAGCTACGTCGTAACGGAGCAGGTAAAGTCACTCCAGTAGGCCTAATGAGGCATTATACAACAATTGATTAATATGTCTAGCCCAAAGAAAAAAACGTTTAGCCTTGTGCTGTATTGTACACTTTATTAGTGGCTATATGAATTCGAGCGCTCTCAGAATAGATCTAAATTCATGCGTTATGAGTGCATCATAAATCACGCTTTCAATTTCCTTGGTAACCTCCAAAACAACAAGGAAAGACCCAAAGAAAGAACCAATACGTTTAAAAAACTGCTTACCACCGACACCGAAATAGTGAACTATATTGGGAGGTTCCATTCCCACAAGCAAAATAAAAACCCCTTTGTCAGAAAATCCTCAAGAGATTTAAAGCTACAAGTAAGACAGTTTGGAGAAATTAAGGAAGACATATTAACACCAAATAATGTACTTACTGAACCATTCAGACCTTGCAAACTTAACGCTGTGATAAAACAACTAAAGTACAAAAGCTTCCTGGTGAAGACGGTATTCATGCGGAATTTCTAATTAGAATAAGACCAAAAGCCAAGGAAACCATGCTGACGCTTTTCAACAAAATCTAGGAGACCAGTCTCGTACCTAATCAATGGAAAGTTGCCATAGTAATACCAGTACTAAAAAAGGACAAAGACCCTAGCAACTTTGACAAATATAGGCCTATCTCCCTCACAAGCGTGCTCGCTAAACATATGGAAGGAATGGTTAACAGGAGGCTGACCTGGTTCCTTGAGACCAACAATAATCTTAGGAGTGAACAAGCAGGTTTTAGGCCACATAGATCAATGAACCAACAAGTTGCCACTTTCTCCAAACACATCAATATGCCCTTGATGCAAGAAATACCCTCACGGCAGTTTCGTCGATTTCCAATCAGCGTTT